AAAGGGTACTCTGAACCTTAAAATAAGATGACATGAAACCAAAATACAGTTTCTAATTGTGTTGAAACAACATCATTTGATATATATTTTTCATTACCTATGTTAGTTAATGATTGAAAAGTTATTCACAACCACATGTTTAACAAGTGCTGACGTTTTGATGACTGCCATCTTCATCAGGACAATTATGACTGTATCAGAGAAACATGAATAATTATGATAGACTAAGTATTATTCACGTTACTGTACAATGTATTTCTTGTAATAACATGACAGACATATTACTTCCCTTGATGTGTTATGCCAAAGGGCAGTTATACCAACTATACAAATGTACCTATAGAGCATACATGTAACTACATAATATCTGATTCAGAGAAACATCAACATTTTGGAGACTTCTATAAACATAACCAAGGTTGACATCTGTGGAAACTATTTTACAAAGAATTTGTCTGAATGAACTTTTTGTTCCAATTTTTCGTCTTTTATGTAGTTCAAATTAATGTAAATTATTCCCTTTTATATTCTATTCAAGGACTAAATAGTTGGAGTTATAAAAATGGAGTTAATACTTTCGTTCAACACAGTCAGACCGTCGCTCACCTTCAATTTTCAGTCGCACATCCGTCGACCTTCCTCAGGAGTCAGATGATTCAATTACCCTGAGCACGTGACCTTGAGGACACGTGACTCGACTCACTCGAGTAATGTAGGCGATAACGGCCCCCGTCTCGGTTGAGTGTCGATTGGTGGGCTCTAATGTAGATAGCCTCTTTATAGTTATATTATACAATATTTTGTATAATAACTATTATTCTGTGTTATTTAGACCTACCTAACGCTCTTGGGTCAGTAATGGAACGCAGATGTTTCAGTAAGAGCACACACACGTACAGGCATACACCAAGCAAAAATCAGTTACACTCACATACACACACCCCTCCCCGCATGCACACACAGGAACATACACGCGCGCTAATGCACTTAAAAGTTAAACACCAGGATACATGCAATTACATGTAGATACAGTCGTGTACATTGTACATAAGCAAACACAAGCTCGCACAAACCTTTACGCACGCACACACACACACACACACACACACACACACACACACACACACACACACATGTATGCACACACAAAATGCACACTCACGGACGCACACACACACACACACACACACACGTAAAACCAGATACCTGTAGTGACTGCAAATGAATACTGTTCTAGATAAACCGACGGTTTTATTATTTCCGTTTCCTTTTTATAACAAGTACAATGTAAATAACTATACATATAAAGACACGAGTATGAAAATACGAGTTATTCCACTACTGGACACTTCTGTCAACCACCGAAAATACAGCGATGTAGCTAGAAATAGGTCAATATTCTATTTGGCACTTCTGTGTCTCTGGGTAGTCAAAATTAACTAACAGGTAATATTTTTAACCGTATACTAGTAAGTCGGTGAAACAGTGACTGTGTTCTTCCTGCAAGCCACTTGAACGACATTTGTTGCCCGTAGGCTTTCAAGGCATCCAAAGTGATTTTAGGGCAGTTGAAATGTATCAAGTTACTTGTATTGTTTTTGGCGACGTCTCAGGGAGGAGCCTAATTGTACAGTATTGTGTGCAGTTTGCAAGAATTCTAGGAATTGTACAGGAACTTTATCCACAGGCATGGAATGCCCACAGGAATGTCTCTCATCTCTGTTTGTTGATATGCCCACATTCCTGGAAACCCTTGGGAATACCTCTCTGCCCCGGACGGCCCTACTTTCTGTGACCCCGGGGCTTGTTCACTATACACTCAGGGGAGGAGTGCACTGTATCTGACAGTGTCTAGACTTAACAGGTACCAAGTCTTCCTCAAAATCATGAAATGATGGCAGTGCCATGCAAACAATAACCCTAACAGTATGTTTTCATTGCCCGTCTTGTTTAATATTATATAAAGTAAGTTGAGTCAATCCTACATGTACACTGTATCACATAGCACACTGACAGCTGTGAGGCAAAAATGTGATGTCGCTGACAGAAAACGATTGCTTGTTTCGTTTGATTATCTATATCGATGGGTGGTACCAGAAGTTATCTGAATATGCTAAGAAATGGCAGTTAATGTCATAATGAAAGTTCATCTGTGTTGGTAGTTACATGTTTAAAGTTAAAACTTTTGGTCCACTGAACAAGACTATTTCTTGAGAGGGGTGAAGGAAGCCATATACATCAGGGCCCATCACCCGTCATTGAACCGCGACGGGGGCTGACATCATCTACCAGATACCTTTTACCCAGTGTTGACGTCACACTTTAAAGAAGCCATGTGACAAGCCTAACTGGGTCAGTCTACTGAGGAAGACCAGAGTAACTGGTCGAAAGCGCTAGGGGAGAGAATTTTTGGTGTTGGACCAAAAGTTTTAACATTAATCAGTCAAAAAATGTCATCATTTGACAGATGTCTTCATCCATAGAATTTGTGCCGCCCTGAAATCTCATTGGATGCCTTTAAAATTTGTCTTGTGTCTATTCAACGAGTAAAAACATCATCACGAAGGCAAGAGCACAATTATCACCAACAGTACTGTATCCGAATTTTCTGTCACAACAAATGTGTCAATCTTAACATTAAAGTTTATCTGTTAGTAGTTAATAGAACAGAGCTAAAACCTCTTTGTTCCACTGCAGTAACAAAGTACCTTAGATATGCTGCAGCATTCTTTTCTTCATATAATAACTAATCACATTACAGGCACGTTATGTCAGCAAAAGTAGAAAAGTCACAAACTTTTATCTAATTCTAAAGCTTTCCACACATCTTGTAAAATAATCAAAGTGTACGCGACAAAGTCAAACTTCAGTACTTTCAGAAATTATTTTTGGCCGTTTTTTAAGAACAGCTTTCCACATCTGTGTAGTTTGCCACGTTAAGATCTATCTTAGATTTGACATCATTTTGATGACTACATTGACGGCACTAACCTATATGTAGCAGTGTTCTAGCCAGGCTTTTTTGCATAGGGGCTCCCTATGCTATGATTTTGACCCCCTATGCTACAATTTTGACCCCTATGCTGTCTTTCAACCAGCATAGTGCTGTTTTGGGAGGGAGAACCGTAGTAAATTTTTGCAAAAAAAAATGAAAATATAACAGTTACTTTAGATTGAAGCTATATCAAAGGGAAAACCTTAATCTGTTCCTCATTAAACTTCTATACCTGACTCCTATGCTATGAAAAAAAATCCTGGTAAGAACCTTGTGTAGTTAGTCGGGGAGATTTTTCGGCATTTTAAAAAAAAGTTAAAAGAAGTCATAAAAATACTCCGCATTTCCACATATTTCCACATAGTTGTGTCAATACCTTTTCTCTTAATAACTTACCAAGAGCTACTCGGGAAAAAAATTGGACCCTACCATTAGCATTTCTAACTTTTCTCTAGGGTGATATGCATGGCTATGACGTAAGTATAGGCCGATACCCAAATATGCAAATATTTTACGGACAGTTGTGCAGCATGTCTTTCATTGGTCTAACCACTTATTGCCATTTTCTCATTGGTTGAACAGCTAATTATGATGGCCATTCAGGATCAGTCAATTGCCTTCCATGCTGAATAATAGTAAGGCGTTGGAGTTTCTATCTATTTTTTCTCTATTATCATTTTTTTAAAGAAAGTTAAATCATAGCACAAAAGATGTAAATTGGCCTAAGACTTCTACAGGCTCAACCAATCACTGCATGCATTCCTACTGTGACGTCATGTCGAATCATGTCCTTTTGGTAAACACCTGAGCGCTAGGCAGCATGGGATACACAAAGCAGAGCACAGAACTCCAAACTTGCCGTAGAGAGTTTTAAACATCTAATCTCAGATTGAAAGTTATCAAAAGAAAAAAGCAAACACTAACAGTCTACTAACGGTTATAGAATCTGTATGACGCAATTAGCTAACTCACAGTTCCTAGTGCGCACGTGCAGTATAGTGAAGGGCTGCCAAAGTTTAAAATACGTTGACACTTGTCTAACGGTTTTTGTAACGCACATCTGTGTCCGTTTTACTAGACTATTTTAAAACGTCAATGAAACAAAAACAACACTACAAAACGCACACAAGTAACATCAGTTACACAACAGTTAATAAATAAATAATAATAAAAAAAACAGTAATCTCCTCTTACATGTCAGAGTGTATATACTAGTAATAATTTCGTATGCAGCAAACTAAACATTCATGTGAACCGGCAAAATTGGTCAAGGAAATATGGATTATTGCAAATTGCTCGCAAAATTAGTGTTTTGTCGGGTCAGATTTGTTGGACATACTAGCCTATTTCCATTTGTTTTTGTTTATCAAACAGACATAACTATTTTTTTGTTTACCAGTCAACTTGTCTGTCAGTGTGATTATGGATTATGAAAAGTTAAGTGTGAAAATGAACATGGCCGTCACCCGATTTTGTAGTATTTTGTAAATTGTGGTATGTTGCAGGTCGGCAAAACATACTGTGCCTGTGCGAAGCCCGATTTTCACGGATTTCGTTAGATGTTTGGTCAACGTTGTCTCAGAATTTCTCCCTTTGCAGACGATATTTTTTTCGACATAACATTTGGAAACTATATAGACGGAATGTTGCAGAGAGTCTGTGGCGGCCTCCGTCATTGTTGACGGGTGGCCTTTTTAATATCTCGTTCAAAACATTCTGGCTCCGTATTCAATGAGAGCAAATGTCCAGGTGATTCTATTGCTGTGTTGACGGAGGCCGGCGCCACAGACTTCGTTCAAACTATGATACACTGCTCAGCAATAGCAAGTCACGTGTGCCATCTGCAAAACGTGACGTCACAGAAGTGGTGGTTTGTTGATTCCTTGACAAAGACTGGAGTTGTACAGTCGAAAATTTGGGTAAGTCCATTTTATGTGTTGGAAATTATAGTTTAAACTTGTTTTATAGTACTTTACGTCATTTTATCTGTCCGTCCGTCCGTTTGGTCAGAATGCAGTGCGCCTGTGTACCTACCTACATGTCCCTCAATGGGCTGATCCTATAGTCCAGACTAACTCGGTCAAAACATAAAAATGCAAATATTTGTGCAGCTACTCTCTCATTGGTCCAACTACTAACTGCCGTGTTATCATTGGTTGATGGACAGTCAGGATCGGTCCATCAGTCCAATCAGCGAGCTAGCTGCCAGTTAACGTTGTTTTCAACATCCGTATATTTGATTCAATCAATCAAAGACCGGGCCTCTCGCCTCTATCTCGATGTCATGTCCGTCCGCCTCCATCATGACAGCCAGCTCGGAGTGTCGTCTGACCAGGGGCTTCTTCCTGCCGCCCTTCCCATTCTTCATCTCACCTTGCTTCAGCAGGACCAGGCAGGAGTGTCGGCGGGTCAGCGGGGGTTTAGACTTCCCTCCCACCGCACCTCCCTTCCCCAGCTCCTCGGGGTTGAAGTCCGCGTCGACCGTGAGGGAGATGGAGGAGCTCCGGCTGCACGGCACGGAGGGCGCGCCGCCATACTTCAAGGCGCCTGGAGGGAAGCCTAGTGGGATAACATCCCCGTCAACTGTGACTTCCCGCAGCTGGCTGAAACCGCCTGTGCCGTCACCCTGTCGGAAAAATCAGAAAACACTGATTAGCATGAAAATTAGATGACAATTTACATATTGAAAATTCAACTGTTCTGCAACTGAGAGTTTTCGACCGAATCTCTCGATTTCAGCTATAGTGACCCAAGTGCTGTGAACACGTGATTCTTTCGCAAGTGTGACGTCAGCACTGGGTCAGAGTTCGTCGGAAGTAGGTAACGCCCCCCGTCCTGGTTGAGGGATTCACTCTAAAATTCAAACAGCTTATGCTGTTGGATTCGTTTTGGAGGTGTTCAGATTTTAACAACCTGTAATATACTTGTCTACAAATTTCAATACTAGTAAATATGTAGTATATATGTGTAGATTGCACGAAATTACAGACCGATACTGCATGGAATTGGCACACTTTAAGCACACTTTTAATCATGCGTAAAGGTTGTTTCTTTAATGGAAAAACGGAAAATTTACGTATGCCTTTAAGTATGCTTAAAGATCCGAAATTGTGCAGTTTAGTGGCTTGCTGACCTGCATGGTGACAGAAATCTTCCTCTGTAGTTTGGAATCGCTACTGCGCCTGCGCCCCATCCGCCTGACCGCCGTCTCCACCTCCACGGAGATATTACTGGTCTGTGACGTCACCGAGGCCTGTCGGGTCAAAGTTCCTCTTCTCGTTTTGGTCGCGACGTTTTTTGGTTCCGAAGGCCCAGAGGAGTCTTCATCCCCAAACACACTGTCCTTTCTGTTATCCTTCTCCGTGACGTTCTTTTTTGTGTTGTTCATGAGTTTCTTGGTGAAGGTTTTCAAGTTGTTAAAGGTCGGCTCCCCCGCGAGGAGGTTTATTTTCGGCACGCCGGCGATGTTTTTAGCGGCGGGGTTGGTGACGGCCTCGCCGGTAGGGAGGTTGGGGAGCCGGATGTCTCCGCACACCAGCGCCGCTTCCAGTACGCGTGGGTCCGCCTCTGTACTTGGCTGGCGCTCCGAGGACTTGTCCGATTCCATGGAGTTCTGCGGAGTTGGGACGGGACGCTCCATGGAGTTTTGCTGGGAGAGTGAGATCGAGCAGGTGGTTGAAGTGCGTCTGCCCGGCGGGTGGGACACGGACTTGCGGGGAGTGGCGGGGCTGATGGAGGTGGCGGGAGCGGCCCCGGGCAGAGACGGCTGGTGTTCAGGCAGAGGTCGCAAGGTGGGGCTGCGCGGCAGTCCCCTGGCGAGGGCAATCCCCGGAAGGGCATTCGACCACATGACCTATCAAAAAAAGGAAAGATTGATTTAATGGTGGCAAAAAAGGGTGCTACTGTTATATTTTGTTCTTACAAGTCGAATTAAAGGCATCCGGTGAAATTTTAGGGCGGCAAAACTGGATTTTCAAAGTGAATTTTCTGGCCATTTACTAACTGTGGTATAATGTATGTTGTATAATACATGTAAGTTGAATCAACCCTTATAAGTAGCATACTGATAACAGAGAGGCAAAAATGCGATACCAATGACGGAAAACGGCTGCTTTTTTGTATCATAGGCTGGTTCTAGCTATTTATTGGTGGCACCCCAAATAAAGGGATTCTTCGTGCAGCCTGTTCTGGAGCTATTTCAAGTCACAATTTTGCTAAAGATGGCAAATAGATGTCACTATCGAATAGATTTCATTATTTAATTTTTGTTTGTTTGTTTGTAATTGCACTGCATTGGATGCCTTATTTAAACAATGTGATAAATCGATAACACCTTTTTTATGATGTGCTGGTCTTAGGCTATGATTGGGTACAGGTTCAGCCGGACCGGTTTAAACCGGAACGACATTCGGGAACCGAGTCCAAAAAACCGAAACGCGAAAACTGGATCATCGGACCTGATGAAATTGTACTTTCCTGTAGATTGTACACACATCTTAAGATAGTCAGGATATGGCAAGTAAAGAAAATAACCCTGAATCAAACTATATTTGCCTTATTCCATGTAACTGTGTTCAGCTTCAATATACAAAATTGCACAACTTGAACATAATATGTAATAATATACACAAGTGCGAGTGACCTGCACTCGTGCTTCGCACACCAGGTTGGACCTGATCCTCTGAACCTGATTCGGACCTGAATTTTGTATACAGGTACCCACCCCTACCCAATCATGAGATTTGCTTTTGCCGTTATTTCAAATCTAGATTTGCTGGTACTACCATGGTATCAAATCGGCGTGGGCGTACGCTAAGGGCAAACATGACGTCATTGCTATAACCCGTTATCACACTTCCTGGAATACACTAAATAAAACAGAGAGAAATCATTGCCTCAGGCTAGCATCCTTCATCACTATGGTTACCCAGATACACACTACAGTGGGATTTAAAGATTCATAATTTTTCCTGGAAGAGTGGGGTTAAAAAAAATAACAGATTCGTGTTCCTGGTAGTAGATTATGATAGCATATAAATTTTCAGGAATGTACATGTGTGACAGTTAACGTTGCTCATGACAAGACAAATTGTGTTCCGTACATGTGTTATTTTGATAAGACAAATGTGTGGTTCGTATATGTTCGTCGCTGGCTTATGGTGAAACAGATCTGTACATGTTAACAGTTGCTTATGGCGAGGCAGATGTGTGTTCCGTACACGTTTGACAGTTGCTTACGGCGAAACAGAAATGTATTCCGAACATGTTTGGCAGCTGCTTATGGTGAGACAGATGTGTGTTCCGTTACTTCCGTACATGTTCGACAATTGCTTATGGTGAAACAAATGCGTGTTCCGTACATGTTTGACAGTTGCTTATGGTGAAACAAATGCGTGTTCCGTACATGTTTGACAGTTGCTTATGGTGAAACAAATGCGTGTTCCGTACATGTTTGACAGTTGCTTATGGTGAGACAGATGCGTGTTCCGTACATGTTTGACAGTTGCTTATGGCGAGACAGATGTGTGTTCCGTACATGTTTGACAGTTGCTTATAGTGAAACAGATGTGTGTTCCGTCAATGTTTGACGGTTGCTTATGGCGAGACAGATGTGTGTTCCGTACATGTTTAACAGTTGCTTAAGCTTATGGCGAGACAGATGTGTTCCGTACATGTTTGACGGTTGCTTATGATGAAACCGGTGTGTGTTCCGTCAATGTTTGACAGTACTAGTTGCTTATGGTGAGACAGATGTGTGTTCCGTACATGTTTGACAGTTGTTTAAGCTTATGGCGATACAGATGTGTGTTCCGTACATGTTTGACGGTTGCTTATTGTGAGACCGATGTGTGTTCCGTACATGTTGGACGGTTGCTTATGGTGAGACAGATGTGTGTTCCGTACATGTTTGACAGTTGCTTATGGCGAGACAGACATGTGTTCCGAACATGTTTGTTGCTTATGGGGAGACAGACATGTGTTCCGAACATGTTTGTTGCTTATGGTGAAACAAATGCGTGTTCCGTACATGTTTGACAGTTGCTTATGGTGAAACAAATGCGTGTTCCGTACATGTTTGACAGTTGCTTATGGTGAAACAAATGTATGTTACATGTTTGACAGTTGCTTACGGTGAGACAGATGTGTGTTCCGTACATGTTCGACAATTGCTTATGGTGAAACAAATGCGTGTTCCGTACATGTTTGACAGTTGCTTATGGTGAAACAAATGCGTGTTCCGTACATGTTTGACAGTTGCTTATGGCGAGACAGATGTGTGTTCCGTACATGTTTGACAGTTGCTTATAGTGAAACAGATGTGTGTTCCGTCAATGTTTGACGGTTGCTTATGGCGAGACAGATGTGTGTTCCGTACATGTTTAACAGTTGCTTAAGCTTATGGCGAGACAGATGTGTTCCGTACATGTTTGACGGTTGCTTATGATGAAACCGGTGTGTGTTCCGTCAATGTTGACAGTACTAGTTGCTTATGGTGAGACAGATGTGTGTTCCGTACATGTTTGACAGTTGTTTAAGCTTATGGCGATACAGATGTGTGTTCCGTACATGTTTGACGGTTGCTTATTGTGAGACCGATGTGTGTTCCGTACATGTTGGACGGTTGCTTATGGTGAGACAGATGTGTGTTCCGTACATGTTTGACAGTTGCTTATGGCGAGACAGACATGTGTTCCGAACATGTTTGTTGCTTATGGGGAGACAGACATGTGTTCCGAACATGTTTGTTGCTTATGGTGAGACCGATGTGTGTTCCGTACATGTTTGACTGTTGCTTATGGTGAGACCGATGTGTGTTCCGTACCTGCAGCTGTGTGACAGTTGCTTATGGCGAGACAGCATGTGTTCCGAACATGTTTGTTGCTTATGGCGAGACAGATGTGTGTTCCGTACCTGTTTGACGGTTGCTCATGACGAGACAAATTGTGTTTCATTGCTACTTAAAAGCTGTTTTGTAAAGCAGATGTGTGTACATTTGTGATGGTTGTTCATGGCGAGATAGATGTGTGTCCGTACCTGTGTGACAGTTCATGACGAGACAGATGTGTGTTCCGTACCTGTGTGACTGTTGTAGACTGTATCCGCGTTGTTCTGGTTCTGGCGCCGGAACATCCTCTGCTGGTGCCCAGCCCCATACTGAACCCCTCACCAGCAAAGTGCGGAGGATGATACGTTCTGCAGATAGATGTTTCCGCGGCCTGTAGTATCTGTATCTGTGTTGACAGCCACTCTGCAGAGTATGGCGGTGCCGCACTGGTACAGTCAGTCCTTTTTAGGTCCTATATAGCCGGTATGACCTCCCTTCGGCGTAACAATCTAGTATGTTCTGTCTCCTATTTTTCCACTCAACACACAGCGTTTTATCGCGTCTGGACAGCTCAGCTCTCGGACTGGAACGAACGGACGTGCGTTCTGAAAGCTGCGAATAAAATCTCTGTAGCGCCGCCGCTTCCGCACGACCGTGCTTCTCGTTACTCCAGTAAATCAGCAGGATCTTAGCCGGATCGATGATGTGTATTTTTAAAGGTGAATCCTATAGTCCGCCCACGCAGGAAGTGCCCCCGGCAGGTAGAAGATGCTACAGTTGGCGTGCCGCTCCACGTGAGGGACTCTCCGCTTCCCTGGCCACAAACAGACGTCTCAATTAGCTCGCCGTTACGACAACGCTGCGTTTGAAACGCCTGTTGCGCGAGCTCCCATTGGACAAACGGCTCTGACGTACAAGCCCTCTAGGGGCGTCGCGTCTACGTAAATGGAACGACGTAGATCTCGGATGATGTTGCGCGGTGAAATGAAGAACTGCCCGGGGTACTGAATACAGTGCAGGATATATATCCCCCGCGGATGGGGTGACTTAATACGTCAGTTGATTCAGTTTGAATGCGGTGTGACGCGTTGTCGGGGTTTCACGGTAAACAATTTTTTTTTTCACACGCAGGCGGTTCAGCTTGGTACCAGACCGCCGTGAGCTCAGCGCTATCCCTTCGGCGCCGAGAGCGTTTGGGGCCGCCAACCAGGCCTCAAATACAGCGCTTCGGGGGGATTTTAAGTTTCTTTGCTCACAACGCTTTGGGTCGGCGGAAACAGAAGACTGAGCGTAATACCGGATACAAGGAAACCAATTGGAGATAGGTCCGTGGTATAACTCGCCTGTGCTTGGTAAAGGCCGAGGCCGAAAAATTACCGCCAAGCCGACCTAAGGTTTGGTACCCAGGCTAGGGGCGGTACGGTCTCAGGAATCCAGTTCTCTTCTCCGGGGTTTCTCCGTGTCGTGTGAATCCTGTTTACATAGATTCACTACCTTCTATTCGACGTTTCAAGTCGTGTCCTAGAGGGAGCGTGCGTTATAATAACAGATTTCACAAAAGGCGATATTCAAACACTCACTACAACACGGTGTTATCGTTCAGTGTTATGGCAACAATGTTTCACAGCTCGGCACTGTTTTGTAATCTCCGGCTGCGAAATGTACACCCAGGGTAGCGGGTTCTCAGTCACGTCTGCACCGCCTATAATTATAACACTGATACGGCGCAGTATGGAGTCCTCCGCGGTACGTCTGGTCGGCCTTTTCCATCTGCAAGAAAGGAGAAGAAGATTGATTAGTTTGCATATAAACAAAACAGACAATAATAATACAAAACAAGGATAAACCAAGTGCAGGAGGAGGGGAGAAGCATGGAATGCTTATACAAGGCCATCCTCCTCTAAACTATACAAAATTAAATTAAATATAGATGTAAGATGTAAACTAGAAAAGCCGACATTTGCTTTGGAGCAAACGTAGAATATTTCACCCCATCTCCCTCCCCAAACAAAAATAGACGATGCTAAATAAATCATACTGCAACTAGAAAGGCCAAAATTTGCTTCGGACCAAGTGTGATTATCAATTTCACTCCACCTCCCTCCCCAAACAAAAATAGAAGATTCTAAATAAATCATACTACAACTGGAAAGGCCGACATTTGCTTTGGAGCATGGCTTCACCACATTTTACGACATGGCAGGGAAAGCAGGAGAAACACAAGGGAAAACAATTCTTTACATTGATATAAGTATAGTATGAAGTGACAACAGTTGGATAGCTATCCCCTACATTATTGGTTAGGATTTTTAATTGCATACTGCAAACTGTTGATTTTCAAGATTTAAAAAGTGCTGGAGCAGAAAAGTCTTGACATACCTATATACAAAAACACTTGAATGCAGTTCATACTGTTAATATGGCATGGCCTTGTACAGGTGTTAATTGAGATAACACAATCAAATCCCAACAGCCAATCAGCAAGAAGAATAGAGGAAAGCTGCATGCCTATTGGCTGCTTGCTCTTCATGCCATCCTGATGACTCATGCTCAAATACGGTAACACACAGCTATAGTACACTTTCTATAACACAGCCAAAAAGCTCAAATAAAACAATTCTAAAAGCCTGTATCACAAAAATGAAACAAAACGCCTGGAGGTATTTGCCAAATGTTAATATGTCATTTGGCCCAAAAATGAGGGAGTTGAATCAAAGAAATGGCAGGAGAAGGAGAAGAAACATGAGGAAAAACAATATATCTCCACCACATAGTGGTGAAGCCATAAATAGTATAATCAAAGCAAATTCGGGTCAGCCATGCATTAGGCCACTCTGAAAACCCTCTTCAGTACGCTGTGAATACACGGCGCTGTCAGGTATTCGGTGTCATTACTTTACATCAAGGGCCGTTACTATGGCAACAGAGCATCCTTGTCTGACGGAGATACCTAGCCAATGATAATAGATGGGGGGTTCGGGTTACAGTATATCCTGCATGTAAAGTACAGTACAGCATAAACCTATCTGCTAGCATACTCTGTATTCGCTGCGCGTTGGATTTCATTCATTGTGATTATCAATATACACATTGTATATTTTGTAGGAGAGGAAGAAATTTAGAGGCATCCAATGCAATGTATGTCAGGGTGGCAATTAAAGATTTTCTGGATGAGGAAATCTGTCTGAAATTGACATTTGCTGTCATTTCTATCTTATCACATTTTAATCATCATGGGTGTGACGTGGGGTCGTGTGGCGTAGCGGCAGAGTGCGCGACTCGGAACTTAGAGTCCCGGGTTTGAGTCCTGACATACCACCGATCTTGTGCCCTTGGGAAAGGCACTTAACACGACTTTTCTCACTCAGCTCAGGTGTAAATGAGTATTGTCCTGTCATGTATTTGTCCCCTGTGTTGGTGGCGGCATTAATATAAGTTGAAAAAACTTGAGTGTGCCGTCACCACGTCTGGTGATTACATGTTGGAATTTAAAAAAAAAATCATCATGTCGTACTTGAAGAATTTAATAAAATAGCCCCAATACAAGTTACACGAGGAGTTCCTTTATATTTTGGTCCTACTTAGAAATAGGTATAACCAGGCTACACTACAAACCAAACCTTTTCTGCCATCATATTTTGCCTCACAGATATCAGTATGCTGTGGGATGGGGTTGATTCAACCTACTACATTATAAATGACCAGAAAATTGACTTAGAAATCCAATTTTACTGCCATTAAATTGCTGTGGGTACCTTTAAGGCAGTCATCTTTATTTTAGGAGAAGCATGATGTATTTTTCAAGTAGCTAGTATATTGCGTTAGGTTCTTTTACATGCAGACTTCGACACCGAGACTTCCGTGTGAGGAAATCGTGTATTCAACACCATATGTATGATCAAAGGCACGGTTCTTTTGGATCGTTCCGTTGTGTATCCAAGAACACAGGTTTGCCCCGGGTAAGGTTCTAGATATGTGGGACTACATAGAAACGTAGTCATAATTTGAATAATTTGCATCCAATAATGTAGATCTCTGTCTAAGGTACCCACATACCGAAAGTCATAAAAATACATTTTAAGAAAATACATGTTCCTTTGTGAATTTATCTGCTCTGAAAGGTTTCGCCAGAAACTCCCCTACAGTTCCAGAACAAGCTGCTAGGGGGACCAAACCCACATCACTAATTACTGTCAGGAAAAGCTATCCATCACTCAAAAATCAACACCATGCTACGGTCTTGATTTTTCAAAACAAAAGATATAAAAAAATTCAGGACAAAAGATATAAAAACCGGAAGTTCTGCTGCAGTACCAAGGTCAGCCACCAGGAGGCCCAAAATCGACCTTGACTTTTGCTTACCCAACACCTACCCACATACCAAATATCATTACAATCCATCCAAAGTTTCAAAAGTTATGCTGGCCGCAAATGTCCGGAAACACAAACACACGAGCAGACACACAGACAGACACACAGACAGACACGCCAAAAACAATACCTCCGGAAAAATAATAGCCCGGAATTTGATCCAACAATGGAACAGTGTTACCGCGACGTACGTCTAGCAAAGACTATATATACAATAGAAACTTTATTGCATGTTCATTCCCCGGGAGGATGAATGGATGTACAAAGTACAATGTACTAGAGAGTACTACAACAATAATAATAAAGAAAGGCTAACATCAAGTCTAAGGTATGAAATGCTAGAAAAAGATAATGTATATAAAGTGGTATCGAAGTTCTAATGGGTTTGTAAACGCAACTAATCTGTTATTCCAGCTACGTTAGTTACCGCACGTATGCCAACACAAAGGGGGAGGTACCTGTATATGATCTGTTTGATAAAAGCACGGTCACAAGAGAAATGTCAAGTTGTCTGAAATCCTGTATCAGATTTCTATGCCGACTAGGAAAACATACGTATGGCCTCTAGACTGGATTTCAATACATTTTCCGCATTGAAGTGTCTGCATTATATTTTTGATTTTCCTGTATGGGGGCTATAACTAAGGCCACAGCAAGTAATTGTTATGGATGACATCAGCGCGCGCATTAATTTTCGCCTGATTATGGAAAAAAACAAACAAGAAATTCTGCTGCCTTCTGGCAGTAGTCAACATGCCGAAAATGGGCAAAGATATATTGTTGCCGGAAGGTGGATTGCAGATAACTATGAAAAGAGGAGACAAGAAAAGGCTCATGATGTAATGTTTTGTTTCTTTCTTTGATGCAGTGATATGTGATGCTTGTTGTGCATATGTGATATTCCCAATAAATCAAAACCATTTTTACAGTGATTAAGTCAAAATTTGAAAATGTAGGAACCTTGTTTTTTCGGCCCGTCTTGTTTTTTCGCCCTATCGCATTACTTTTGGAGTCTGCGGAGGATGTCATCCATAAAATTTACTTGCTGTGGACTAATGTAAACTGCATCTTTGTCAGAAACCCCTTACCTAATGACCTCAATGAAATGCCGACTTGAGCTTCTCATGAATAAAGAATGGTTCAAACAAGCAAACAAATAAGGGAAGATGGCGTGTCTTTTTTCCGGGCCTGGCTTCCCTACAGAGAACCATGAATCATGATATGCTAAGGCCACAATAAGTAAATTTTATGGATGACGTCCGCGCGCGCATGGATTTTGGCCTGTTCCTAGAAAAAAAAAAAGAAATTCCGCTTCCTGTAAGTGTGACCAAATAGTCACGACAGTGCCACAAATCACCAGATTGACATGATGTGAAACCCGTGACGCGAAGAAAGTGTCTATTTGACCATCCTGTCAATAACAGAAAATTTTTCACTGTCCACTGTTCCACCTGATTTATTGCTGTTTCGATTATGAATAAAAGACTTCTTGCTTGTTACACTTTGTCGACTCATTCAATTTGTGTCCAAACATTTGTCGTCTCTTAGTATATTTCTAATCTAGGCATCTTGTTTTTTAGGGCCCTTCTTGTTTTTTTTCGCCCTCTCGCATTAGATTTAGGGTCTCCAAAGGACGTCATCCATAAAATTTACTTGCTCTGGCCCAAAGGAAACACAGGCGGCGGGATGAAACATACCAGAAGCTCTCATAGCTAGATCAAAGTATGTGTGAAACTGCCGGAAACTACAATTCCCCTGACGCTAGATCTAAAGACATGACATG